TTTAGGGGGGTTTTTTTTTTTTTTTAAATAAATAAAAATTCATTAAATTTAAATTAAACTTAGAGTCAAATTTACTTATAAAATACATAAATACAAGCGTAAGTTTGTTAAATTTGCGTAGATAGTCGGTAGGAAAAAATCATAAGTCAAGGGGTTAACGGATGTGACTAAACTTTCGAGCGATAGCGTGTGTAATATCTTTAAGTAATTATCAGGAAACTAAATGTCGCAGATTTGTACAGAGTCCGTTCAGTTTTTCCACGTTGAAACCGTGTCTTTTTTTCTATTCGACAGAGCTTAATGCACGTGTTGAAGTATCGTGGCAAAGTCACGGAGCCGGAAGCACGGTATTACATGAAACAAATGGTAACCGGCGTCGCGTATATCCACTCTCAGAAGGTTGTTCATCGAGATTTGAAGCCCGGTAATATGTTCCTATCGGATCGTATGATCGTCAAGATTGGAGACTTCGGATTGGCGACAAGGCTCGACGGACAGTGCAGACGAGTGTAAGTTTCCCGTTGATTTTACTGGATTGGGACAGTGGATTGTTAATAAACTTTTAAATAGACTGTCTTTATTTAATTTGAGATTTACGGGAGAAAACGTACGAACTATGCGAGTCATACAACAAGAATAAATAAATCGAAGTCAGATCAGAAAAATATCAGCTCCCACTTTTCCTAAACAAAAGACCCTCTCTACGTGTTGATTCATTTTTGACAGTAGCACTTTTCAAACGTGTACTCGAGGACGAAATATCCAACGGATTTTCTCTAATCATAACTACTACGTGAAATTTTCACAGGAAGACGAAAAATTAAAAATTGAAAAATTATCACTTTTCGTTTAAAAAAATTTTCAACACCGTCGCTGCCACCAGAAAATCGATAGCACGCTGGTTAATGCACCCCGGGCCGCATACGCTGCGTCGGTGGCAGCGAACGTGTTGTACAAAGAAAATTTGATCGAAATATAGTTTTTTCAATTATACTTTCTTCATTGGTTAGGTGGAGTTGTAATTTGTATAAATAACGAACTGGAGTTAATTTTTGTAAGGAATAATCTGAATGGTCAACGAATTATCCTTCTGCGGTACAATTGTTTAGAAATTTGTATGCATTGGAAAATTATCCTGTCCGTTTGATTTATATTTTATGGTATCACATTCTTTCACATTTGCATGTGTATTAAATAACATCGCATATTAATGTGCGGTAATCAGCGTGTTTTTCGTGATTATGCAAATTAAATGAATAATGGTCGAACGTAACAACTTTCGCTTATTTCTTATGTACTCGAGATATTAAAATTCACGTGTAGATTTAACGTAGTACACGATCAGTTCCGGTAAAAATTCAGAGAAGTATGATAAAACAGGAGTTCGCTCGTTTTGTCGAGGGTTTACGATCGTTTTGTAAGAACTTCTACTAAGAATAATTATCTCGTGAATATTTATCACTTGGAGCAACGTTTATGGTCGTCGAATTATGTTTTAATCAAATGAAATACATACGCGTTTAAAGTATGTTTGTATTTTAATACATATACACTACCAGACAAAAATTTGGGATCATTATGC